TCCACCATTGCCTTTCTACCTCTTCTTGCATTATTTTGTGGTTGGTGGGATTGAGAAAGTGTGCCATACTGAACCTGTTCCTGTTGTGCGTTGAAACGAAAACGGCAAGCAAATGTTAAATATCCACAAGTCGCATGGGGGATGGGTGAAGCTTCACCATTCTCTGAAGGGATCCGGATGGAATGGAACAATTTCCTTCTCCTTGCAAAACACAACCAAGCCGAGTTGGATGCTTTTTGTTTGCAGTTCACCTCTCGGCTTCCTTCCACGCTCCTCAGCGGTACTCACAAGGGGCCGCAAATAAACGTTGAGTAGAACTCCTACCCTTTTGTAACCCTCATGTGTTTATTTGAGGCATTTGTACACCTTCCCTTACCTTGTCATGAACTCTCCAGGAAGCTAATGGATAATAAGACCCAAGACTAGTCAATGAGGAAGAAAATAGCATTCACTCATTAATAACAGCTTTAGCCGCAGGAAACATGCCACGTATTGGAGCTCAGAGGCCAACTCTTCTCCTGGCACTGCAACTTCAACAAAGTTATCCCTTGTGCATACATATAGAAATGTAGAAACAGAGCGAGTCAGAGGGGGTCTCCCGGGCCATCTAGTCTGACCCCGGCTCCAGCCGGCTCCGCTCACGACATGCCTGCCCTGTGCGTGTCCAGCCTGCCCTTGAGCACCCCATGTCTTTGGAGAGGGCATTTCAACTCTGGGGGGCCACCACAGAGTATCCAGTTGTCACTTCTCGAGGGCACAATCGTACGCATGGTTAGATAGAAAGAATTGGGGGACACACGCCTGGACGGTAAGGCAGTTTCTCCCCAGATGTGCAGAGGACCACTTTCTTAGTCTCTTATGGTAGGAGTGTATGCAGCAGGGCCTCTAGAGAATTTCTGAAGGGTGAGGGTTTGGGTTAGCAGGCGATGCTCCAGAGACCCCAGCCTTCAGATGTACTGGGTTTGCTGTTCATTCAGCATGTGAAGCCCATGAATGATTTCATACGAGGGTGAAGATTTTCATCCAGAGACCATTGGCATTCAGTCATGGAATCTGACTTATGTGATAAACAGCCACAGGAGTTGGACTTTTGGGGGGGGGGGGTTCTCCCATTCCTCACAATGTGCTCAAGTGCCAAGTCCAGTGTGGGTTAGCACTGAACTGCGGGTTGTCCTGTTCTCTGAACCCAGCTGTGCTAAGAAACCGTGGCTTGTAGACCACAACCCACCCATGAAGTGAAAGCACAGTTCGTTGCTGGATTGTAAATGGTGGGTTTTCACCATGGTTTGTTATCTTGGCCAGGTTCAAACGGCACTTCAGTCAATGTTTCAACAAGAACCCATTCAAAGACAACTCAACTGTGGGTTATCATATTCTCAGGATCTGTTCCTACCATGCATCATTCCTTCAGCTATTAAAAATTAAATAAATGTTGTATAGAATGAAATATTTCACACGAATCTCTCAAAATGTTGATCCTGACAGCAGTGGCTGACTTCTGATAAAACAGTAGCAATAGCCCATGCTCAAGGCTAATATTGAAAGATGCGTTACCATGTTGTCTGAACTAGGGATGAGTGAGGAAACCTTTTTGGGGGCGAGAATCCACTGGATTCCCTGGGCTCAGCTCCCCAGACTCCAGTCTGCTTTTCTGAGAACCCATGTTCTTGGTGAACTGCCCAGGAATCGAGCCTTTCGCGACCTCTGTGCAAGCTGCTATTCGTGCTGTTGTACATGACACTGAGGAAAACGCAAGCCATCTCGGACATCTTGGCCCACCTCACTTTGTAAGACCAGGCTCAGTAGGAGAGGACTGTGAGAGGAAGTCCATAAGCAGATTGGAGGGACGGGTTCCACCGAGTTTCTTCACAACCCTAGTCTGAACCAAGCTGTTCTAATAAGCCATGGCTTGTTAACCTCACACAACCCAGGAAAGGAATCCATGGTTTGTTGTTGGGTCGTGGGCAGTGTGTTGTCCATCACTGGCTGGGTTCAGACAGTGTGGTATCAGCAACCTCCCATGGTCCAACCACAACTGGACTCGGCTTTTGACTGTGGTTTATCTTGTTGTCCTAAGTCTGCCTCAAGTCGTCGTAGGCCTGAACTGAGCGATGAACTTCCCAGAAGGAGCCCTTTTCCTCCACAAAGACTTTTTCGTGCTCTTTGGATAATGGCTTCTGAGACAACGCTGGCAGATTTCTCTCCAAACCGCATCTCCCATTCTCTGCCGCTAATTCTATTACTTTTTTTTATTCTTCTCCAGAATGAATGCAAACAATCTGTTGCCGTAGCAATGACAACTATATCATCACCCGGGAGCATATAAATACTTCAAGCACTCAGCTTCTGTCAGCCGCAGCCATTGTCACTTCCCCTCATTATCGTTATCCGCATTCTCCGCCTTCCCACATCTCAGTGGGGTTTTAGAGCCATTAATAAAAGGGTTGTGGGGGGATCATATTGTCTGTTTCTGCAAGCATATGGAGCCCACAAGTTCTTGAGCAGGTAAAGATGGGCGCAATCTGGGCCGTGAATGCTACAGGGGGCCCAGGAAGGCAAATTGATTGTCTTCCTTGGCAGTGTGACCTCTTGTGCCCTTCATCTGTGTCCCTCCTTTCAGCACCAGGTGGTGAGCTGGCAACATTTCCCATAATGCCTCAGGCCCAGCCACTTGGCACTGCTGGGAAGACCTCACAGAAGTGTGGAGACTTCAGCCAATCCCTGAGGAGGCTGTGTGTGGCTGCTGGACTTAATTTGGGGCCCCTGGGTTTTGCTGTGGGAGGCTGTTGATCAGCTGTTTCCTGCAGCATTGCAACATAACCTCTAGGTGGCGCTGCACTACAGCAAAGTAGGGCAAATACAGAAGAGGAAATGACCTTCATTTTGCTTTTGCAACTAAATGGTGCATTTCCCTGGCTGAACACCATAAAGAGCCCATGAGCACCCCAGTATAGGGACTCTTGAGTGCCAGTTTTCATTCCTCATGTAGAAAAGCCCCTGTCACAGGTAACGGACAGGGTTTTTCTCGGAGCTCAGGTTGTTAGAAACATGCAAGAGAGACTTTAGAAAGATACTGGGGGTGGGAAGGGGGCAGGCAGGGAGCTAAAGGCTTCCTGGGCATTGCATCAGGCAGCTGGAGCACTGTGGCCAGAACAGTGGAACTGGATGTGACTATTCAGTGTTCAATGCAAGGGTTCAGTATTCTGCCCATGTTCAGAAGAACCCTTAGCTCATCATTACAGCCATGGTTCTATCACTGAACTCCAGCATCAAACAGATTCAGGGGCTGCCACATGGTGGTTCTAAGTTCATCCCCCACAAACGTCCTGGTTTTGTTGCAAATCCCAATCCTACAACACAGGGAGGGAGGGAGGGAGGGAGGGAGAGAGAGAGAGCCCGCGAGCGCACAACAAATACCTTTTGTAATGCAACTGCTCTAAAATACTTTTCCTTAATCTTTTGCTAAAAGATTGAGAATCCGGTGATTGCAGAAAGACAATGCCCAGCCCCCCGCCCCCGCCCCAGGTGCCAGGGGAATGCAAAAGGAAAACAATTTAAAGCAAAAATAAAAAGTGCCTGTAGCACCAAAGTGCGTCAAAAAGGTGAAAAATTGGACCATTTTAAGTCTCTATAGCAACTGCAAATGGTTTTTCTTTTCCAGAGTGACTGCAGATGGGGAGGCAAAATGTTTCCACAGGCTTTCTGACCCCCCCCCCCATTAATAGCTTTATCTAATTCTCTGGTAGATGCCCCCATGTTCCTGAGAAATAATTTCCCATTAAAACAGAACACAGGCTCTGCCTGCGTTGGAATTGCTCAGTTTGCTCTTGTATGGATGCTGCGGCTTGGCTTGTCACGTCTGCGTAAGCCCAAATCTGCCCATTACATAAAAAGCAGACAGTCACAAGGACTATGCGCCTCATTTTTAAAGCAAAGGAGATGCACAGATAGGGCTGTGTGATGTCCACCCACCCACCGTCTGCTCCCCCAGATGGTTTCTTTGCCTTGCAAGGAAAGCAAGGCGGCTTACATAAACCTCCGCTTCAGGTTATCCTCACAACAACCTTGCAAAGTAGGCTAGGCTGAGAGTGAGGGTCTGGCCCAAAATCCCCCAGTGTGCTTTGAGGCTGACTGGGGACTCGAACCCAGATCTCCCAGGTCTCCAGTCACCGTTGCATTGCACTGGCAATCCGTACTTTTTGGGGTACATCCACAAAACTGGCAGCATGGTTTTCACTTTTCCTGAATGCTGCTTAAAATTTGCTTAGCAGAGATGTTTTCTCCCCCTTCCTATGGGTAATTTCTGGTTGATTATTGCTTATACATGCAATTAGGGTAATTGCATCTGATTATGCAAATTAGCATCATTGTGTAATTAGAATGTGGAAAGATACCGTATAGTGCAGTGGCGTGTTTTCTCCCTTTCTCTCTGTTAACTTCTTAAACCAGCTGTGCTAATGCAGAAAACAGTCGGTGGCGTTTTCTGCTGGTCCTCCGATGAGCTGGTTCTCTCAAAACCCTGGAGGACTTCTGAGTGGATTTTAAAATGCGAAGCTTCGCCACCAGAGCAACTAATTTGGCTGGACCAATCAGCATGGCCCAGTTGTCCTAACGAGGCTCATGCTGGCAGGCTCATTCTGCAGCACCCGTTCTCCGCAGACTCGGACCTGCTTGCTCACTCTGCCTCAAAAAGGTGTCACTCGGACTAGCAGCGTGAAAGTTGTGCACAGTTCTCGCCACTCGCCTCTGCACAGTGCAGTTAATAATGCACCTCCTGCTCCCAGAGGAGCAGAGCTTTTCTCGGGGGACCTGGAGATTAAATCAGGAATAGGGTGGGTGCAACATCAGACCCTGGGATTGGCCAGCAGTGAGACGTCCCTGGATTGGCCCAAATCTAAGGGACAGCTGCCCTTGTTTGGTCAAGAATGGCACCGTTTGCCTCCCATTTTGTCTCTGCTGCCATTGGCTGCACAGTGTGGACCATGTTTGGTTGCTCACAGCTCCAGACTGGAGATTCTCGAGATGGCTGCCAGCAAGGAGGTGACCGAACAGGCTGGCATTAATCCGGTTTGTTCAGAGCACCGTTTTGCGGTTATCTGAGGCTCAGAGAGGAAGCTGTCGGCCTCTCACAAGGCTGGATCTGAAGATAACGTCCACTGTAGATAGAACAGACACGTTTATGCAGGCCAGGTTGTGTCAGGAGAGCAGGGTGGGGTCAGGTTACAGGCACCGGGCAGAGCAAGCCCCATACGTGCAGAAGCCCCCTTGTGGAAAATTGCAGCAGGGCCATGGAGAGCTCCAAGTGAGCTTTCCTGGCTGGAGCTCTCTCCTGGAAGAGACATAGGAGGATGTTGTCTCAGCAGGAAACTGGAGCCGGCTGAAACCATGTGTGGGCAGCTGTGATCTGCAGTGTAGACAGGCCCATCCTTCTGGAGGAGCTGGATGGCCTGTTAAAGGGCTTTTGCCCTGGTCACTGTGAGGTTTGGAAGGTGAGGGCTCTGCTGAGGGTTTCAAAGATGCTCTCAAAGTCTTGTTTTCTAGCTGTGGGGGCATGAATATGGGACTGACTTCCCTTCCTTTGGAAGAACAGCCCGATCCCCATTTTCTCAGGGTCTTCTTCTGTTCCCCCAAAAGGACAAAGACCAGAAGCCATACATAGATTTTAGAAAAACAGGCTAGGGGAAAAAACACTTATTTTACACATGAGGTAGGTGAATTATGTTTTATTTTGCAAATATTTCTCTAGCTTTATGTTACCCCAACACAAGGAAAAGTTTAAATACTGACGCTCCTATGATAGCAACAACTTTTAAAAGATGTGTGGACCCCGCCAGGCCTTTCACAAGTTCCAGCCGTGCCCAGCCCTGCCCTCGAAGTGAATGTTGCAGAGTAGCGAGGTGTCTCTCCCTCGCATGCGCATGGCCACTGAGGCAGCGCATAGCTTGCTGTTGGGCACAGATGAATGTACTGGAAAATATGTGAACTCATTTTCGGACCCTTTTCCCTTGACCTGCTAGAAACAGAAAGGGGAGCTTTGCACTCAGGGCAGTTACACTGAGCCACATCTTGTAAGTCACTATATGCTTTTCGCTTACATCTTTCAAACCACTTTGCTTTCAAACTTGCAGAGAAAATGAGCAGAGATTGCAACAGCCGGCATGTTCGCTTCCGCAGTGGGTGATACTGGAGAGTGGGGCTTGGGAATCTGCTGCGCTTTCCGAAGTGGGAGGCTACAAGCTTGCCTTGTTTTCTTCTGGGGGATGCTGGAGGGGATGCTGCAGCACTGACAAGATTTGTCAATAGGCGCGATCTGTCCTCTCTGTAATGACTCTGGATACATGAAGGTGCAGATGGTATCCTCTGCTACATGCTGCATTGATGATCATCACTCTAGATGGCATTAAAAGGGTGATCAAGGCCACTAGTCCTCATGACTCTATGAACATGATAGACTTTGCTTTCAGAAGATGTAGTGAGGATCACGAATGTGGATGGCTTTAAAAAGAGACTGGGCCAATTCTGGAAGAGACGGCTATCAAAGCTACTGATCCTCATGGTTCTATGCTACCCCCAGTATCAGAGGCAGAGTTTATGGGGAGCATGAGTCAGAGGGGGCTGTTGCACTCTTGTGGATTTCCCATGGGGCATCTCCATGACCCCTGCAAGAGCTGAAGGCTGGACTCTTTCAAGCTTATTTTCGATCCGGCTGCAACTGCATGTGTCTACTTTTGAAGTTCCAGTATACCTTGCTGCACCCAGAAACAGCACGTGGGGAGGACTCTGGGGTCGCTCTTTGCCAGACGCTTGGCAGGGCGGGAGGTGCATGGTAAACAATTACAGATGAAAATCCACAGTAGGAAGTTAGTTTTATTTAAAACTTCATTTCCTTTTGGCGATGTGCCCAGACACCGGCTTAGGGCTCCCTTGCTGTGTGTTCCCTTCATGAGAAAGGAAGTACCCTGGGTTTTTTATTTCCACTTTTTGGCCTTGGGAAAAGCAGTCAGATTACATGCATGCAGCCTGCAGAAAACGCACTGCTAGAATTGCAAAACCTCTCAGATTGCTTAGGTGTTCCATCCTCTTCTGCAACACGAAAGGGAAGGCAATATGCCTGATCAAAGGGGGAAAAGAGAGTTTACTTTAAGCTAAGCTATCCATGTGGTAGAGCTCTGACTGGACTGTTCCATTTCAAGTTGTGGGAGGAGTGCAAGGCTGCAATTCTGTGGTTCTTGGAAGGGCATTCCAGGCTAGGGAGCATAGTGCTTTGTTCATGGGAGGGGACTGTAAAAAGAAAGAAACCCACCCTTGCAAGCGTCCCCATTAGCACAAAAACCATGCAGAAATACGGATGGATTTTTCTGCAAAAAGAAAAAAAAGCTTGCAATCTGGTAGGGACTTGAGCTGGAATGTGCATCAAGATGGAATTGTTTTGCTAACTGAGGCATGTGTAGCAGCCATTGATCTCGAGAGATGTGAGGCAGTTCTCCTCGTAGTCCGTTTGTCCTCTTCGCTCCCAGAATCATCTTGCAACTTTGCTTTCCCCTCTTTCCCCTCTGCTTGCAGTGCAGGGGACGGGAATTAGCACTGAGGAAGCAAGTAGGTGGCAGCACCTGCCTCCCACTCCCTCGAGCAGTGAAACATTCCAGGCTAACCTCTTGCAAAATGCAAGGTGTCTTTCTTGGTCATATTTTCAAATATATAAGCCTAGTGTGGACTCTACCAGAAGAATGGTGAGCAGATTGTTAAAGTTTATCAAATGGTGTTAGGGACCTTCCAAGAGCCAGGATAGTGTCTTGGAGCCATGCTGAAGCATTCTGGCCTTCTGTTTGCTTGGATGAGCACCAGAGATAATTGCTTGGGAGCTGCCTTCCCAAACCTCACTGTAGAGAAGAGTGGCTTTTTCTGGGAGAACAAAGCTGTTTGCCATAGTGCAGTGGCTTTGCCAAGGGCCACGGCCCTCTCTCGGGAAGGGAGGTCTCGCTGAAGCAAGGGAGAGAAGGACCCAATAAAGAGGCAGGAGGTGTCTTGGAGTCTTAGCTCAGAGAGAAGAATGGACCCAGCCAGGTCTGGGGACCCGCGGAGCATCCCCTGGCCTGTTCAGGGGACCATTACAGCCAGAGAGAACACTGCAACCTGTCTTCACCTTACAATCCTAGCTCCGTATTTCACCACTGTATTCAATAAGCTCGATCTCATCTTTGATGCAAGTTAGCATGTTCTGCAGAGTATGTGGTGTGGTGCTTTGGCTGGACCAGGCACCTTGAAACGAACACATTGACCTGTAGGCAGAGGGACACAGTCGGGGTCCGACATCTGTGAGACTTTTCTGCCAGGCCTTTGGGAGAATTATCCGTGGAGCTGAACCATGGTAGGATTCAGCGCCATGGGCAGCTCCTTGGACATTCAGACTGCCCTGCAGGCACTGGTGCCATCAGTCCCCCCTGGATTTGGGATGTCACAAAAGGGCAGCGAACATTTGACGTGTTGTTTTGGGATTGTTTTGGGATTGGTAATGGGTGACTTTGGGCCAGTCACCGTATCAGCCCAGTCTACCTCACAGGGTTGTGGTGGGGATAAGATTGTGAGCAGGAGGGGGGATGATGTAAAGCAGATGGAGTTCTTTGAAAAAGAAAAGAAAAAAGGTGGACGTGAATCTAATAAATAAAGAAGGGGAACATCATGGAGGCAAACGCATCCAGTTCTCAGCTTGAAACTGCACCCTGGTTTAGTTCATGAGCACCACCCTTCTGCCTTACTCTTCTCTCAGTTTCCCTTGAATCATAGGATCATATAGTTGGGCCTAGAAGGCCACTGGGCCCAACCCCGTGCTCAGTGCAGGCTCGGGTCTCCCATCCAAATGCTAACCAGGCCTGGCCCCACTTAGCTTCCAAGATTAGGCAGGATCAGGAGCTTCAGACTATATTAAGTTCAGCCTGTTACATGCTAACATCTGTGTTTTCCAAATCACAAGGATCCATGAGGCGTTTTACCACAAACCACAGTGCTCAAAAAGCCACAAAAAAGCAAGGCGAAGTGTTAAAAGTAGTTTGCAACACAACAACCTCGGTGAACTATGTAAAAATAGTTGCTGGAAGTTTGGAGGGGATTTGGCAGTGTTGGTTCTTTGAGCATCCAGTAGGGACCCCTGGTGGTAAGACACCGGTTGCCCGGACTCTGGACTGAGGATTTGGGCAATGCCAGATTGCAGGTGGCTAACACTCCTTTTATCATGGCTGGTCGTCAGCGGCCCAAGCCATACTTGCCAGAACGAAACACACGTCTTCCACCTCCAGCAAAGAGTGCGTCTGGTGAGCTGCTGGCTTTGGTGGTTCACTGGTGTTTTTGCTTCCCTGTGGGAGGTTTGTACTGGTGGCATCTGGCCTGCACTCACTTCTGCCTGCTTTCGTCTAAAGCAGGTGCTTCCCGTTACAGAGCAAAGCTCTTGCAAGGTTAGATTGGGCAGTGGGTTTGCCATCTTTCCTGGCTGAATTTCATGCCTCGTGCATGGAGCAGTGCGGAAGGAGCAGTGCATACCGTCCCGGGGAAGCACTGGAAAAAGCAGCCACTGCCTGCCCCCAAAGCGGTGGCTGTCCGAGGCAGCCTTCTCACTCGGCCTCATGGCGGGGGCAGCCCTGCCCCCCAGAAGACACCAATTTGCATAACATTTGCCTATGCTAATGTGTGTGTACATTTAAAATGAATTATTGTACCAGAAAGGAAAAGACATAGAAACAGAGTGAGTCAGAAGCAGCCTCCTGGGCCATCTAGTCTGACCCCCGGCTCCAGCCGGCTCCGCTCACGACATGCCCACCATGTGGACGTCCAGCCTATCCTTGACCACCTGCACCGTTGGGGCCTCAGCCACCTCTGAACATCTCAGCCTAGTGTGATGGACCACAGATGGTTGGACTGGGGACCTGGGAAGTCTGGTGCTTATCCCCCAACCCTTGGCCATGAAACTCACTGGTTAGGTCTTGGGGCAATCACTTACTTTCATTGTGGCCTACCTCATAGGGTTGTTGTTGTGAGAATAAAATGGTGTGAAGGAGGACTATGGAAGCTGCCTCAGGTTCCTTCCAAGAGGAGAAAAGGTGGGGCATAAATGCAGTGTAATCATACATGTTACAAACTCTGCTTTTTATCCATGTTATATTATTCTATTAGCATTCAGTAACATTCCTTTCTTACATGTCTGTTTATTTATTACATTTATACCCCAACTTTTTTTTTGTAAAGAACCTGAATCAAAGTGGCTTCCATTGTTCTCCTCCTCCTGGTCTCAGGTTTATCTCCACAGCAACAACCCTGCAGGGTAGGTTGGACTGAGGTGGGCGCCTGGGCTACAGTCACCCGGTCGGCTCCGTGGCTGAGCGGGGACTCGAACCCGGGGCGCCTGAGTCCCAGTCCAGCACCCTTCCCCGCTGCACCACACGCACTCTCAGTGTGCAATGTCAGCAGCTCAAGATAGGGAAGCTGGGACATCTTGGTGGGGCACCAGCGTCTGCACCGTGCTCCCAGGTGTGCTTCAAGAGGCGGAAAGAGCCGCACTGTGAAGCACCTCTTCGAAACAGGCTTTCTCCATCCTGTGAGGGATTCTGTGATTCGCCTGTTTTACTGTTATGACTCCATCATATTTTTGGGGCCTGATTTTGAGCTTCTTGTAATGCACGTCATTCCCAGTGATATGGGCACAATGCTCAGAACCCTCTACCATCGGAAGACTGTGGGCATCCTGCACAGAGATGCCAACGTCTCCTCCATCTTTCTCCTCATTTTGCTTGTCCAGCTGCGACCCTAACCCTAAATTGGTGCTCCCCCTCTTTCCCTCCCCTCCAGACATCCCAGTGAACCCGACCCGGTTCCTTCCACACCAGCTGTGGTGGGGAAGGGCGCAGCAAGTCTGGCTCCGACCTCCAAGCGATTTTATGAACCTGAAGCTGTTTTTCAGCCTCGGAGTTGGAACTCCAAAAACATTCCCCCCCTCCAGATGCTGCATATAGGATCACTTTGCTTAGGATGCTACTCTCAAGTAGCATCAAAACATTTTGAATACATAAAGAGACAAATCTGAACCAGTTTGAAAATGATAACTTCCCAGCAAGACAGTGGCGGCGTTGAACAAAAGACGCACCCTTCTGTTGAATTAGGACATCTGGAGCGTATGTAAGTGATACAGGCAGAATAGTCTGTGCTGACCTTGACCAGTGTGAGCCGCGCCCTTGCTTTATGCTTTGTCTTTGCGATTCCTTCCAGAAATCCATGAGGACAAAGTGTTCCCCCCGGACGCGTCCCACGAGCCACGCTACCCCGGCAGCCTTCGTCGCCCTCTGAGAAAGTGACGCGCCCCGAGTCCAGCATGGGAGACTCTCTGGCGGATACCGCAGGCCGAGTCGTGGACGCGTGCTGCAAAGATGCGCAGGCGGAGCTTGTGGGAAGGGTCGCTGTGCTCTGTGTCACCGCCAGCCCCGGCGGGGCTAGCCAGAACGGCCAAGAAGCTGCTGAAGAGGACAAGGCCACGTTCCCTAAATGTCCCGAGAGCCAAAGGAACGGGGTCGATTCGGATTCAGGGACCGCCGAAGAGGCGGATGGAGCCCGCGAGCTGCGATCACCAAAGAGGGTCCCAACAAGACCCATCCTCTCTGGCAGGAAGTTTTCCCTGCAGGAGAAGCCGGCAGGAAACTACTTGACTTGTGCCGACCCCTCGGGCTTTGGTCCGTACGCCACGGGGCCCTCCACGCACATCTCGCCCCGCATCGTGAGGAGGCCGACGATCGAGTCCCATCGCGTCTCTATCTCAGACGCTGTGGTAGGGTTTCCGTTTCTCTGGACAGGATCAGTTCATCCCCTTTTCCCTCACCGTTCCTTCCAAACGGTGCTCACAGCTCAGTGCTCTCATTGGGTGGTGCTAGCGTGAGCTGGCCCTTTAGAGGGTCTGGGTGGGTACCGGTGAGGCCACGTGGGGTCAGACCCCCATCTGAGACCCCCACTTATTTGGGGCATTCACAGCTGAGACATTTAGGGCACACGCACTGATAGCTGGGTCTTGGGGAAATTTTGGGGGATTTGTTTGCTGATGGGTTCAGCGCCAGTCCTGCTTCCATACATGCTTTTGTGCCCTGCCACGTTCCCCATCGTCCTGCTTCTCCCTCTGCCCCATGAGCCCCTGGCCTTTCCCCATAATGCACCCTCCCCGCTGGCTCCCATCTGCCCTCTTCCTCTTCGGCCTTCTCCAGAGCTCGCTCGCTCCTTCTAGGCCAGGGCAATTGACTGCTTTGGTACCATCACACAGCGCGTTGGCTAATTCCAGAAACTGTCTTGGGCACTGCCACAAAATGGCTGCTGCGGGAGGCAGCGCTGACTTGCAAAGAACAAGCAGCCTGCCTCGGCTTGAGCCTGAGCGCAGAGGAAAGACTGAGGGAGGAGTGGAGGCACGGCGCTGCCCAGGCGCACCCCGTTGCTTGCTTCATGCTAGGTCCCCTTTCAGCTCGGCTGTCCTTCGTAGCCCTGTTTTCCCAGCATGCTCTGCAGCCTTTGTTTCTGCAGCTGAGCTGAGTCCCAGGTGGCATCCACAAGGACCGGTAGCCACCCAGTCTTTCCCCGGCCCTTTTCCTACAGGCCCAGTCATGGGGCTCCTACTGAGGATGGCACAACATGTGCCGGAGGCATGCCAGTCTTTGGCCTGTCCTTGCCAGTGCCCCCCATCTTCTCCTTGTCAAGGGTATCCCCGGCCCTGCAGGTGGTGAACAAGTCTCCCGAGGCCTGGATGGATTTGCTCTGCCCAGGCAGGCCAGCAGAACCTCTGGGGCAGAGAAAAGAGGGGCTCCAGTCTAGGTTGCTCAACCACATTGACCTTCTTGAGTTGTAGGACATTCCTAGAGCCCTCAGCAAGGAATTCTGGGATGCTCCCCAACTCTGCTTCCTGGGTTGCCCATTGGTGCTGCCTGGCTCCTCGCCTTAATGCCTGGCTCCAGCTTCCTGGCTCCCCCTTCCTACTGCCCCAGGGCCAACCCTGATATTCAGCCCCTCCAGCTTGCACCCGGCAGCAACCCCAAACCCATTCTCCAAGCAGACTCTCTTCTCCTCTTGCACCCTTTTCAGAGTCAAGGTTGCCATCTCCGTCCATGTGGGGTGTATGCATTGTGGTACATGCCCTGGCAGGGAACTCCCACTGGTGCGGGGCAGCTTGCTCATAAGTATTTTATCCACCGACGTGCCCAACAATTCCCAGGGGACCGGTGCCCCCGAAAAGAAAGTGCAGAAATTTAAATTTTAATGCAGGCAAAAGGGGGCTGGCTGGTTTCTCAGCGGCTGGATGCTGTTCTCTGGGAGGAAACTCATCCCTTTTGAGGCACGTCTTATCCACGCTGAGCACAGAGCATCCACAAACATTTTCACGGGGCCATAAAGAGGGGTGCCTCGTGCCGTGAACTCGCATGGAGAAGACTCTTTGTCAGATGCATGAAATATTTTCCGCAGATGTAATTGATACATGGGAGCCAGTGTGGTGTCGTGGTGAAGAGCATGGGACTGGGACTCAGACGATCCGGGTCCGCTCAGCCATGGAGCCCACTGGGTGACTTTGGGCCAGTCACAGACTCAGCCCAACCTACCTCACAGGGTTGTTGTTGTGGGGATAAGATGGAGGAGGAGAATGATGGAAGCTGCCTTGAGCCCTTTGTAGGAAAAAGGCAGGCTATAAATTGGAAAATAAATACATAAATGGATGCAGCAGGAAAGTGTCGCTGGTATCTACGGCAGGGCTAAATGTACAATAGATCCAGCTCAGATCTTCCTGACCTGGTAATATATTTATTAAATTTAGATCCTGCACTTTTTCTACCAGGAGTCCAATGCAGCCTGCATGATCCTTCTGTGCCTTTTCATTTTATCCTCTGCAGGGCAGGCTAGGATGAGAGCAAGTGATTAGCCCAAAGGCCCCCGCTGGCCCCTGGCCGCATGGCTGAGCAGGGTGTCTCCACCCCGGTTCAGCTCTCTGGGCCAGTGCCACCCCCACCCCCGCCTTGGAAATTGGCCTCGTGGACGGAGCACATATTTCTAGCTTTGGCATTTCGCATCGCTTCTCATTACATCAACCGGCTTGTGCACATTTTCTTGGCATCGAGCGTGCCGGTCTCGGGATGTAGGTTGTTTGAGGGCATGGGTTCGAAGACGGGCATCGGTTTTGGTGCAGCGGGCAGCCCACGCCAGGATTTGCTGCAGGCACCGTGCGGCAGGAGAGGTTTTCAGCAGCTTTCTGACGGTGACGATCGTCTGAGATTGGCGCGTCTGCACGGGATTCTGTCTGTGCCGTCTCCTTCGTGCGTGCATGAACCTGCAGGGCTGTGCACTTGCTGTTGGGGTTAAGCCTCATGAACTCTGTGGGTCTTACATCTGAGCGGGCCTGGATAGGATTTTGCGGTTTGTCTAGTCGTTGTTTCTGTGAATCAATTAAAAGCCTTTTTGATGAGCTAAGATAGCGCCCCTAATTACCTAAGTGATTTTCTTTAAAATATATTTTTAACTTTCTTTTTAAATTTGTTTTTGCATTTACATTTCGTCTTTTTTCCTGCAAAGAACCAAGTCTTATGTGTCCTCCTCTTTTCCATGATGTCACCACAACAACCCTGCTAGGTTGGTTAGGCCCAAAGATGCTCTTGGCAAGGGGGAGACTTGAACCTGAATCTCCTGAAAGTCCAACAACCTCCCCACCGCTGTACTTAGAAGCTTTGCTGGGAACAACAGGTGGCAGTTGGCTTCCTAAAAGAGACATTCCTTCTAACCTCACACACAGGTGGGAATGCCGCTCCCAAAAAGCACAAATATCAGAGCAAGGTGCCTTGTGGAAAAGGTACTGGGCTGTTTGCATGTAAAAGCAGTATTTGGCAGCCAATCATGGGTTAATCAGCCCGTGTTTTGCCTGGATGCACAGAGCCACTTCCAGGTTGCAAAACACCTCATTTGTGGGCTGTCAGCACAACATTCAAACCCAGATACTTTGGGTTATTCATGGTCTAAACAACCCAGTGTTGACTTAAGAACAAATTGTGGGTTAACTTTGGATTGTTTAACTCGCAAGCAACCCAGAGTGACTGGGTTCAGACACCACCTACGAATGAGCTGGTAAATTGCAGTGTGTTTAAAACAGGAAGTGGCGGGCATGACAGATGCAACATGACGGGCACCCCCTCATTCTCACTCGTGCACAACCACTCAAGTCTTGGTTGAACTGTGGGTTGTCATTACATGTGAACAGAGTCATTCCCTTCTCTCTTAAGGCAGGGAGTGTTTTAATGAAAAATGTAGCGCGTATGAGCATAGACCATTTAGTCTACATAGTTTTGCCTCTGAGTGCTGTTTCACACATGGCTAAATCCCACATACAAGAGGAAGGAATCTGCAGGCTTGGGAAGATCTTGAGGTTTGCACAGGTAAAACTAAAAAGGCGGAACAACCCTAAGAGGAGGGAGATCCAAACAGAAGCAGTCCAGAGAGAATTGGACAGATCCGGCAATCGCGGAAGGCTGACTGGATCATGGTGGTAGCTGGAATGGGCTGCCGTGGGTGGAAAGGGCCGGGGCAGCAAGCGTGCCGAACACAAAAGGTTTGTGTGTTTATTTAAGACATTTGTATGCTGCCCAATTGTGCCACAGCTCATTAGAGAGCCGGTGTGGTGTGGTGGTGAAGAGCGTGGGACTGGGACTCAGGCGATCCGGGTTCAAGTCCCCGCTCGGCCATGGAGCCAAGTGGGTGACTGGGCCAGTCACAGATTCTCAGCCCAGCCTACCTCACAGGGTTGTTGTGGTGGGGATAAGATGGAGGAGGAGAATGATGTAAGCTGCCTTCAGCCCTTTGTAGGAAAAAGGCAGGATATCCATCAATCAATCAATCAATCAATCATTACATTTAAAGAGACAATAAAACCAATTACATCATATTAAAAATAGAACATCTATGAAATACAGCCAGAAATACAAAAGAAAGGTCAGATGGCATTCTTTATTAAAACATTTTTTAAAAGGAAGGGCAAAAAGAATGTAAGGGAGGCACCAGGCAAATCTCTTTGGGGAGAGCATTCCAGACATGGGGAGCAGCTGCAGAAAAGGCCCTTCTAGTAGGGTGTGTATAAATACACAAATAAGTCATGATCAGGAAGCCAAAGGGACAAGTTTAAGGATTTGCCCAAACTGAAGGATCAGTGGTCCATTTTTCTGATCTGGAAGTCTTTGGCAGGGGAATTCTGTGGAATGGGGACCTGTCTCCCTCCCCTGCTTCCCAGGCATAGTCTGCTCAGGCACATTTGGGTGCCCAGAACGTCCTCGACGTGCCGTTCACCACTTCCGCAGGCTGCCAGGTGTCATCCATCATCCGCTGGCTGGCAGGCAGGGCATCCACCCCTCCCGCCGCGGCTGCAAATCATTACCCGGGTTAAAGCTGCCGTCTCGGCAAAGATGAAGTCGATGGGGGCTGCACTTTCTGGAGTGTGCCCCGCAGGCTCAGCCAGGAGGCAGGATGGATCAGTGGTCGCGCGTCATGCCGTGGAAACCACACACCGGAGTCTGTGTCAGTGGAAGCAGGATGGCTTGATTCCTCTGTGTGTTCAGCAGATAGAGGGCTCAGCTGCCAGAATTATCACCCTGGCATTGCTGGATCTGACCTGACATTCAAGAATTCGAAACCTCTTCCTTCCTTCCAGGCTGCAGAGCACCAAGCTGCATATCATGGGATGGGCAAGGAATTTTCTGTTTGCCGCGAGATTCTGCTAGCGTCCATGTGCAGCTTTGTTTTTCAGGGGGTTTCTTCCACCGC